AAATAAGCATATGCTTCATCCTACTCCTTTTCGGACATGTTGGGTTCACATTATTATTTTTGTTTTGACTATTGTTATTGGATTTGTTTGTTTTTTAGTTTACTTTGTTGTGTTACTCTCACATGTTCAAAATAAACTAAATAAACTAAACTAAAAAAAAGGCGACATGGGGGGTAGCTTATTAGCATTAGCAGCTAGCTTGCTTGCATTGTTCATTGACGAATGAATTTAACAATTACATAAGAATGGAAAATAACAAGTGGGGGGGGTAGTTAGCATCTTCATTGGTGACAAACAGAAGGTGACACAGAAAACATTTTAACCATGAAGCAAGATAGACAAGTGACAAAGTGTATATGGAGTGACATTTTGTTTGTGATTGTATATAATAATGATGACAATAATATATTGCAATAATTGATAATGGCAGCAATGAACATGTGCACGTACAGTACATAGAGCTGCCCTCATTTTCATTAGCGCTACCATTAGCAGCTAGCTTGCTGGCATTGTTCATTGATGAATGAATTTAATGATTTCATTATAAAATTGCAAAATGACAAGTGGGGGGGCTAGTTTTCTAGCATTAGCAGCTAGCCTTAGTATTAGCAGCTAGCTTGCTGGCATTGTTCATCGATGAATGAATTTAAGGATAGACTGCAGAATAATACAATGTAAAAAAAGTGAGAACTTTCTAAATGCACTGATTGATCTGTCCAACAGCCATCTCTAGTTTTCTTTCCCAGCAGGGAGTTTCTCCAGGATGAAGTTTAATTCAGGCAGTTTATGTTCTTACAGCTGCTCTCACACCACTGCTGTGTGTGTACTAAATTCACACGCAAATATTAATATTAACATGTGAAACCTTTTTGTCTCTCTCCAGGTACCAATTGGTTACCAATGTTGGTGTGTTGGCTTTCCAGGATGGCGGCCGGATTGATGACGCCACATCTTGGAGGTGGACCCCCGGAGGTTCCTGTTGTCACATTGAGGCACAGCGGTCCCAGCTGGAGGGGAAGCACAGGATGCTCGGCCTGACTGATGCAAAGGTGATCCAGAGGATCTCCTGGGAGGAGTGGAGGCTCCACTGTTGGAGGAGGACACATGGGGCAGAGGAGACGTCCTCCTCATCCAGGATCTCCACGTCACCCTGGACGTCTCTTTGCTGGATTCTCTCTGCATCCAGGACATATGGAGACACAGAGGAGCCACCAGCTGCATCCAGGACCCAGCAGGTGCAGCTGTACAGAGACTGGTAGACTGACAGAAGGGCGGGTCAGCCTTCAGGTTTCCACCTTCACCACTTCATCCCAGGTACATGCGTGTGTCTCAGAGCTTGTTATAGTATATTCTGTATTATCATTTCATGCAAACATAGAATTCAATTTTGATCCAAAACCTTTTTGCTCAAGCCAGTGCCAAGTACTTCAAGCTCCTGGCAACACCTGCCAGACAGAGCAGGAGGAAGAGCGAGGTGTCTTCCCTCCCAGAGACCAGGAGAGGCAGCCCAGGTGACAGTTCAAGGCAGCGACGGGGAAGAACACCTCCTGTCCTGGGAAGGAGAGTCTCCAGAGGTGAGAGTCACTTCAGATATCACTGTTTCCTCTAATGAATATCAGATCTATATTCACACACACTGCTCTCTGATGATCTTTCAGCTGTCTTCTTGGACTGAACTCGGGCCCTGCAAACTGGGCCAGTGT